CGTGACCTTTGCCCCACTTACTCCGCCCTGCCAACACAACGCGCACGCCCTCACCGGCGTGTGCGCTGTTTGTCCACCACAATTGCCGCCGCTGTCCACCAGCCGGCACTATTACACTACACATGCGAGAGGAAACCGGAGTACCTGGAGAAAATCTACGTGCGTGAAGTGGTGTAACACTCAATGCCTATACACATGGGAATTAATCCACTTGCTGCACTTCTGTACTTTGGCAAGCCAAAAAGATGACGAGGACGACGACGATATTGACGACAGCTTTCTTATCGTTACACTTGTTTACATTTTTCAGAAGGGCCCTGCCAATGTTTTTTGTTTGGCATTAGAGGGCAGTGATTGCTGTGTGTATTCCAATTGATATTTGGGGGTCATTTTTACTTTTTGTTTTACTTATGACACCGGCACACAATGGCCTGCACTTGGAGATTGACGTCACGACATATTTCACGTCCACTGTGAAGCACGCGACGCTCGGTGGTATTACGGTTGATCAACTCGCAGCGCTAATCAAGACGGCCGTTGCATTCGAACCGAACCGTGAACTTCTGCAGAAACAAGTGGAAAACTCGCTACTGCCAGGCCATGTAACATCGCGGACGACGTGGGTACGGTTGTAGTGTGAGCCTCGTTTCAAATGCTCGCACGGTGACGGAGTTTGAAGAACTTTGGTTGTTTAGCCGATAAATGAGCATGCCCACAGCGGGAGGCTGGTAGTCTCCGCACTCTAAATCTTCGCCAATTCTTATTGGGCAATTTTTTTTTTTAACGATCGTGCAAGTTTATTAGATGTCCACGCAACAGCAAAAATGGGTCCACCAGGGGGAGTCGATCAACAGGTCACGCGTGGTGGGGGTCGAGTGTGGGTGCTGCCATCCCTTCCAAGATGGATTCCCGAGAGCTCCCTCGAGCCGAGGCCCTTTCCCCATCAGCGGTACGAGCTAGCGATTGCACGGCTGCGCCTTGAACTCTTTTCTACCTCCGCCGTTCCTCCAGCACATGCCCCCCCCCCCCACCCCTCCCCTGCTGTGTGCACCGAATGCTTTGTTCCATCAAAGCCATCGTCGGCACCAGGACGTGCGTCATCTCCCCTCTGTGCACCTTTCTGGCCTCGCCGATATCGATCGAGGCTGGACGCGGATGATCATGACAAACACTGATTGCCAAACACTAGCAGCAAGCCGTCAATATATCGCACTCCTGTTGGGGTGGCTTGCACAGGGATGGATTTTGAGATGACATTGCACAGTCGTGTGTTTTGCCCATGGTACTCGGGTGACACGTAATAGGCCCTTTGTTCCAGTTACATTTGATGTTCTTGTTTTTACTTTTTTAATTCGTAACTTATTTTCTTGAATATAGATGTGTGTGTAAATTTGCCTCGTGAAGTAATGGCTTGACATTGTCTTTTGCGGTCTTAAAAATAAGGGTAAGATGCAATCTTTTTTTTTATGTTTTTGTCATTGCAAAACAAATCTGAGTATGATACATATAATTTGAAACCTGGTAATTTATGCTAGTTTGGCCAACTCAATGCGGTCTAGTAGATTTACAAATATTTATCTCATTAGAATATGCACTCTGTCAAGTATGGATAATTATGCTGACTTATTTTGACCTGAAGCCACACCATGAAAGCACAGATGCTGCCCACCTAATTACTTGTGCATCCGGTCTGGTTAATTTAATCACCCAGGATGTGATACACAACGCTTGTGAAACATTTTCGTCACGGGTGCTTGCATTTTCATGAACAGCAAACACGAACTCTGACCTCATTCGGATCACGGTGTTGATGTTTTTGAATGCTCGGCAGCAATCGCAGCCAATGGACGGTGACACATAATTTGGAGGCGCCGGCTTTCTTCAGCGCCTCCAAAGTTCATTTAAATAGCCCTCTCGCCCTTTCACATCACGATGTCTCACACGTTGTGTGTTGCCGAGCACTTTTTTCAAAGGCATATATTGCGCACGCTTGGATGCCCGGGTTTCGTGCGCCTCTTATTGTCTCTCGTGACATTAAGCGGAACGAGATGATGGGACGTCGCCGGGAGCACATGGCGTGCTCGGCACGCTTGCGGCTTGGGGGTCACGGTAAATGAAAAAAAGGAGGCCAGCGCGTTGCCTGGGCCACATCCCAGAGAAATAACGCCTCTGCCACGCCGCCAGCTGTGAGATTTTAGGGAGGAACTGTGGGTCCATTCATCATGGTCAGAAACAGATATTCTGTAGCTTTAGGAGGAACAAAAGTAGGTGTTAATGTGATGTGGCTCGTTGGGCAGTAGCGCTTGAGTTCCGATAACACCATGTTATGGATCTCTCTTACACAAGATGCTTTATCAATTTGGATTAACAGTGCTCTTTTAAAATGTGTTTTGGTCTTTCTCCAAGTATTTATTCCTGGCATGCATGCAGCATTACTCCATGGGTAGATAATCCACGTTGAAATCTCATGAAGCGGTCCGACCCTGTATATTTTCACGGAAAACCTCAAAAAACCATTCAAGTGGCCCTCTTTGTATGGTTACACGACAGGAGAGCACATTCCCACACACTGCTTTGAGCTTTGTATTTCTTGCAGTGGATTGAGATTTGTGTTAGTGGATTGAGGTTTGTGTTCGTGTCAGAGTTGGACTTAGTCAAGTTGCCTTCGTAGTGCTCTCCCTGCATGGCAGAGTTTGTTGACAAGAACCAGCAGAGCCTTTGCGGCAAAGCGGCAAGCAGATTATGCTGCCACCTTCTCCATCCTCCATTCACTGCCCATCCTCTTCATTCCCACAATCGCCCCCTTCCTGCAGCCCCTCCACCAATCCCAATCCTCGGGCTTTCCTCTCGTTCTCTTCTCTTCCTCCTTCTGAGAGGGCCAGGAGGTATGCAGTCAACAATGCTTGACTCAGGGAGGAGGACGCCCCTGCCATGCATAGTCCCATGGGATGTTGGCTATCAACAACAAGGCAACTCCTATGACTAATTGGGAATGGGACGCAAGTGTAGGATTGATCACCCTGTCGCTGGCCGCCTTTGGGGAGGGTGTATAGTATGAAAGGCCGAAACACCCTAGGAACCAAAGGTTCACTACTGACGATGCGCTCCCCAAATTTCACCAGGCTCACTGTTCATGAACTCTTGGAAGTGCTTGCACATAGGATAGTAACATCTCATCCTGTGTTCTTTGGAATCTGCAATGCCCTCATTCGTCAAAGCATAACCTCGTAGAATGCATCAAGTCCACATCGTCACTCCCCTTCCGTTTACTTAAATTATCATTCTTCTTTGATTGTTGCCATTCAAGAATTATTCCTTGGTCCGCTTCTCTGCCCAGCTCCACCCTCTGCATCCTTCTCCATGACCACGTCTTAAACGCATCTGACTGTCTCAGTTTGCGTTTTCTCAGTGTCTACTCCGTGCAAAGCTCTGCTTCACACAATCATCTTGACTTTCTCTCTCTCTCTGTTTTTGCTGTTTCACGCTTCCTTCTTGTCAACAATTCTCTCCTCCTGCTGCTGAATGCCTCTTTCCCCATGCCAACCATCAATATTATTTCCGCTACACACCACGTGATCATTGTGTCCAAGTACCAGAATGTCTTCACATTTTATGCCAGTTCATCAATCGTGATATTCATTTTTGCTCCACTTTCAATTGATATTATCACTTTTGTTTCAGTGTATCCTCACACCGTATTATTTTGTAATTTTTATCCCATCCGTCAATCTCTTTACTTATCACCATCCCTTGATCATCCACAATCTGCGAATCATTTAGTAACTCTCCACCTTGAACAAAATGGTCAATGCAGTACATTATATGACAAATCATATATTTTTTCATACGATCGGGTTTGTTTTGTGGAATCTTTGGTGACCGGGCTGAGACCATCAGCTCACTAACACTTGAGAATTAAGTTTAATCAAAGAGGGCGGTATCGTGGATGTGAACCCCGGTTTTCAGAGGTGCTGACTCAGTGTCTCTGAACCAACAGTCACTGAGGCCACTTTGCATCTTCGTTCGTCCGTTTGTAAAACGAATACTTGAAAATGCTTTTAGATGTATGCAAAAATATCCGCGGCATGCTGAAAGCATTCTTTTGTACAGAATAAATATATATATATAAGACTAATGGACCATATCTAGCCATTTCTACTTCATTATGAATAGTGCATATAAGTGAGACACCCCATTTACGAATGCTAACAAATGTGTTTATTACACTCGGTGATGTGCACGTGTGCAAATTGTTTATTTTGAGTGATTGATCAAACGTCCGGTCTGTAATGCAAGAAAAGGGAATGAACATTCATTTGGGTTAACCGTAAAATGAATAAATTGTGTATCCATGTTTATTATTATTATCATTCAGCGTTAGTTTCATGTGTGCGCGTGTCCGTGATGTGTTGTTGTGCCGGCTTGCCGTGGGTAGTGGATAGCACACCGGTCACATGCTCGCATCCGTCCATAGCTAAAACGGTAAACACTTCACAACTCGTGGACATGGCTTTCGTCAAGCCTCACGTCGCGTTCGATACCACCGCATTTCCAGGTACAGGCTGAGTGTTTTGAACAGAAATGAGACGAGAAAAGGAACAAGAGACCCAGACAGAAACGTTAATTGTAAATTAAGCCTTCCATATTAAAACTATTATTTGGATTTGTGGCCTATGTGGTAATTTATCAAATTGTTTTTATTTAAATGAAAATGTTCGAATTGAATGTAGAAAAAAAGAAATTGACATGCCTTATTATTTTCAGGCAAGGACGATTTAAATTCCACGAAAAACATAGTGCAATTCTGTAGTGCATATTAGTGGTGTGTCTGTATTTATTGAATCATTGTTTTTGAGATAACAAACCAGGGTGACGATTTTGAAACGGTGTGTGAAGTATAATTTTTTTTTTTAAGTGGGCCGTAATTGTTCTCGCCAAATAAAACATTTCCATTAATTTCGGCACCGGCTCTCATGCGTCTTTCATTTGTTCCTATTCAGCGGAGGGTCAAATGACTTCATCAAGAGCTACGAGGACATCGAAACGTTCAAGGAGGCCTGTGGGACCACTTCAGTGATGGTTGGTCGTGCCGCCATGTGGAATCCTTCCGTCCTGCGCAAGGAGGGCCCTCTTCCTTTGGACGACGTCATCCACGCGTACATTCGCTACGTGAGAAGATAATTTGTCTTGAATAGTTTTTGTTTGCGAATGATGCTAATGACCATTCAAACATTCCAACCGTCTCCTTCCTGAATTGAAGTTTTGTCTTCCGGTCACGTACATTTTTGCAGAAGTGTGCATAAACCCAAGCGGAGATGAGTCAGATACACCTGCAATAAAGTGGCTGGCATAAAAAAAATCCTCAATATTTTAAATGTTATTTGTTATTACGTATTTCACGAAACATTAAAAATTAATATAAACTGTCTCCTTCGAACGTAAACAAATTGTACATGCTGGTCGACAAATTAAAGTCCTGCGCAAATGTTGGAATTTATATATTAAAATTTTTATATTCATCGGTTTTAGTCATTTTCAACCCTCGAACAAAATGGCACAAATGTTGCGCGAGAGAGTTGCGCAGCTACCGCTGTCATCTGCGCTCAATGCCGCTGTCCCCATGCTCTCACACAGGCAGTGAAGTATGACAACTCCCAACACAACACCAAGTACTGCCTCTGCCAGATGCTTCGCGACCAGCTCGAGAGCCCCTTGGGGAAGCAGTTGTACGCCTGCCAATCTTTGCAGGAAATAAGGTACGTGGAGCTTAAACCTGGGCAAGGCACAAGGCCTCCCACGCTCGCTCCGCAGTGCGTCACCGCGTGGGCAAATGCACACTTGCACACTTGCACGCACACACTTCCACTCTCAATAAAATAAGTGCGTGGTTCCCTTCCCCGCCATGTGTGTTATCGGAAAACGCGTGTACGTGTGCTCGTGTCCTTATGATGGAGGGTAAAGTGACCGCGAGATATGATCGGTCATCCGAGGACTAGAGGTCGTTGTTATAAAGCACGATTGAGTGGGTTGTGGGCATGTGATGACGAGTCGATCCATCGATGCAGATCGATTCTTATGCTCGGCGATACACATGTCGAATCGTGCGTGCGAGAATCAATGATTTACAGTGTACGCAAATTCTATTTAAATTATATGTTCGTATGGTTTGCATTTTATTACGGAAATGGAGCGGGCAGAAGAGTGCGTAAAGAAGCATGGAGAAGTACATGCTTGGAATTGCGTTGACAGACAGGAAGAGAAGCACATGAATTGAAGAACTTGAGCAGGTTAGAGATGTCATAGTGACTGCTAAGAAAAGTAAGTGGGCTTGAACAGGGCACATCACCGCCAGAAGGGATCATTGCCGGTGCTCGAGATTAACGAGCGAGTGACCGTCAAAGGAGGGAACCCAGTCGGACATCCACCACGGAGATGGAGCGTTCAACTCGGCTGGTGTGTAGCAGCTACGTGGATTGTTGGATCAATTGCAATGCCCTGGGGGGGAAGGTCTTCGTCCAACAGGGGATAGCTCGTGTCTGATGATGACAAAAAAAATATGAGAATCCCAGCGAGGCTGAAAAAATGGCAAACAAGAATGGATTGTTGAATACTATCACAGGTTGAATTGTAACACACCTAGTGAATTGTAAAGCTTACTTTTGTAAACCACACCATATCAGTGCCTTACTTAATCAGGATTTGTTTAACATTTTAAATACATTCTTTAGTCGACCGCAATGCTGTACACATCCCAATAGGCTATTAAGCTTGGTTTGGTAAACAAACAAATTACCACTGTAGCAAATGCCGACAAAAATAATGATTCCAAAACGAATTGAAGTTCTCGGTGCGTTAAAGCCCTTCGTAGGTCCAGTTGGGATGAAGCCTCCCCTACATGCCTGGTCGCCCCGTGGGGATGTTTGCCCAAGAGGAGAGTGTCCAAGGGGATATAAATATTCATGAGATTATGCAGCCGCCACGTAAACACAGCAATGACATCGGCTCCTGTGCAGGAGCCAGATGAGTTGTCGGTGTCACGAGACCGTTTGAGATGGAAGTCCTTCATCCAGCAGTGGATAGATCTTGGCTGATGTCTCGATTCAGGGTCTCCCTTCGATGAATTTCTACCAACGCATTTTGTGCTTTACTTCTCGTTCAACTTTGTGTTGCTTATCGATCTTCTGTGGACACTTGTTCATTGGTTGTAAACATCTTAAAATTAAAACCCAATATAGGACCCCCTCTGGTAAAAGAGTCATAACGCAGCGTGGCTTTTCCGTGCAAACAATTATCATCGTCCCGTGCGATTCGATTAAAACGACATGACCGTATAATTTGCATACACGGTCGATTCTTTGCATGCAACGATTCGGCGAACGTATCCTGAGAATAGCGGCGTGTGCGTGAATCATGACATCCCTAATGGGCAGGGTCACCTGGGCTGGTGGTCTGCTCACGTCCTGGCTGCCCTCTGCGCCGCGGTGGTGTGTTTACCACAATGCTCGGTTGTTTTTTTGTGAAGATTGTCAGCGCGTCACGAATTTACGCGACGCAAAGCCGCAAACAGGAGACCACTGCGGGGGGGGGGGAGGGGGGGGTGTTGTGGCGTGAGCGAGAATATTCAGGTGTTAAATGTGGTTCTCCAGAAATAACTCATTAACACCTTTGGCTGTGGAAAAATCGTGAATAAGCTCCCGGATGTTTATTTTTCAACGACTTAAGCGCGTGACTTTCCGGTTTAAAAAAAATACCAATATATTTTTTTGTACGTACATTCTGTACCCAACTTCCTGGCCCTACAAGCCGCATGCTAAGATCCCCAACGGCTGAGAGCTGCACGATGTGCACTTGGCGGTCACGCGGCCGGTTCTCTCGCGTCAGTTGGCTGTGGAGTTTTCGATTTAGAAATCTGTGGGAGCACCCCGGGAGTGCTTGTGTGCTGGGCTGCTGCCACTTCCAGGGATGATGATGATTTTTTTTTTATAATTTCAAATTAAATTTTACTGAAAAGTTACAAATTGTCAGCGCCTCCATTGGGGTGCACTCTGCAACTGCCCCGGGAACCGCATTCAACTCTGGAGTCTCAGTTTGGCAAATTCTGTGGGGTAGAGCGGTAAGGGCAGTGGTTCACTCACTGCGCTATGAACCCTGTAACCTGAGTTTGATTCTCAGCCGTGGCTAATGTGAATGATAATTATCTGAACAAGTCCTCGGTCAGCCACTTCACCAACCCACACGGACCAGCATGGTGAAGTATGGTCAAACAACCCCTGTGGCTGAAGCCGGTGGAACGAGGTGTTCATCTCACAGCAGCTTGACTCAGAGGCTGCACATTAGTATACGCCATGCTGTCGTACGCACGGGGAATTCACAAAGTGCTGAATTAGCGGGCTGAACTTGCAAACGATATCTGCCGCTTGTGGTATTTTACATGTCCAATCGCAGCATTGCTGTGCAAGTGAGAAGCTGCGTTCACGCGTAACAGCGATTATCGTTCCAGAGGGCGGCCGATTCGATATATATTCTGGCGTGGAAATTTTAAACAGTGGTACGGGTTTCTTAATTGCCCCTTGCCCTTTTTTCCATTTAGCAGTATGAATGGGCACAGGTCAGTTGGTCTACGATGGGCGGCTCAGGTGTGGTGGGGTAAAGTGTGGGTAACTTCCACCTCTTTCAAGACGTTTGCCTAGTCGTGGAAGAGTAGGCCAACATACCCTCGAGGGATGCTCAAGGAAAGGCCTTATAACCAAACATTTTAAATAAACAACAATAACCTTTAAATATTTTATTTAATTGTTACTTTAACACTTGTGTGATTCAGTGCTCGAGAACTAAATGGAATATCTCACATGAGAGTGCACATTTAGAGTAATCATCTTTTGCAAAAGAAAATAATTTTCAGTCAAGAACCGTAAAGATTCACTGAAGCAGTCAACGTTAGGAGCATTACCACAATCAAAATTCTATTGCTGGATTAACAGTTCATCAGTATTTGTGTATGCACTTTGAGGTTGTCAAGCAAACTCTGATTAACGTTTAATTACGATGATTACAAATGCATGCTTAATTTAACAAGCCTGCCAGTCTCTCAGTGATGTGCATAATTAAATTCCTCGGGGGAAATGGGGAGAAAAGAAAATACGCCACGCGGATTTAACAACGGGTAAATGTCAATCCTTCTAGGTTGCAGCAACTTAAACGAAATCCATGATCCAGCCGGCTAGCATTGGGCTCGCGCGTACATCCTACTGAACACTTCAGCATTCACCTGCCAGCCTCCGTTCGTGCAGTGCAACCCCCATCGATGATATCACAGCAGTGACTTTTGATCGGTTGAGAACATTTTAATTGCCCTGGAAAGCCTCGCTCCACGAGTAGCGAGATTTCACCGTTCGGGAGGGCGCTCCGGAGGTTCGCAATGGGGGATGGGATTGGTGCGATGTCCAGTAATTTGTGGAGTCAGAAGAGTGGAGCGTTTTCATTTGAAACGCGACTCACAACTCGACGATGCCACGCCGGGGGGATGCGTGCTACCGTCCTCGCAGCGCAGTCGCAGTGCGAGCTCGGTCGCGTCAAGATGTGCTCGCGGGTTTACCGACGGACGGTTCAATAGCAGGACAGCGTGTGTATCGTGTTCGAGTGAATGCTTCGTATTTCTTAGCGACACACTTTGATGACGTCCTAAGGAGACAGCTATTTCACACGAACATTTCTGAGCGTCTGCATTGGCTACTGTTTGGAACGGGTTAAATGCATGTGGCTTTGAGTGAAATGTCACCTTTTATTAATACCCCGGTAGTCGTCATGGGAAAGTGTGATTGCATTGATCCGTCGGTTTTATTCTCCGTTTCTAAGCACAAATGTGTCATAATAATGCACGAAGGATTATTTAAAGGCTGCTCAGCTGGCCTTGGGAACGTCGATCTGCGTATTGATGTGCTGCTACCTCGTTGGAGCAAAGCAATGCCTCTCCATCATCTGTGCTTGCCAGTGAACAAAGTGCACATGTTTGAGACAAATATGTGTGTCCCCATTACCACATCATTTGCTGAATAGCACAACAGGGCTCAAATTGATCCTCTTAAGTAAGATTTAGCAATGACAGTTTGTACCCTGGAAGCCAGCCAGCCCAGCCATCGCATCATGCGAGGGAATGTATTTACTTTTTCATGACATACTATTGCATCTTGGATGTGTGTGATTAATTTGTGTAAAGATTGTATCGTTTCTGTTGTGTTGGATTTTATTTCCTCAAACAGTGTGCATTTATAATGCTACCTTTAATGCTTTTTTTCCGTGAAATTTGCTTTTTAACGTTTTCTAACTTTGGTTAAAAGCGTTTATGTATGATGTCCGTTCGTCCTTCTGTCTCTCTCTAAGCAGGGGGGGATACGTGGATAACTTTCGCAATAGATGGTCCAATATGGTTACAGCTGTATGAGAAAGTTGTGTTGCTATTGGGCCCGCCTCCAGAGAAAACCAGCCAAATAAATGAGTGTTTCCCACGCCTCCTCCCCTGTAAATCCGCTATCTGAGTGGCATCGTCTGATCGCGGCCTACAAACGTCCTGCTTCCTGAGCCTGGCGCAATCACCACGGCCTTCATTATCGCGAATTAAGTGCCTCCGAGGACAAACACATCTTGGAAAGCATTGCAGAACCCATGCATTTTGCACGTTTTTATTCCTTGTGTATGCTTGTATGTGTGCAACTGGGCCTCCCTTGCAAACAGAGACTTGTAGCGCTCAATTGACACACACTTGGTTGAAATAAAGGGTCTGTCTGCACTCTTTCTGACTTCAACTGCCGCCCGCTTACAAATGCACGGCCACACGTAACCGTTTTGTCCGCATTTGTGGAAAACGGGGACCGGTTCAGACGTCGACTCCACCACTGTGGCCGGGAATCAAACTCAGGTCACCATGTTCATTGTGTAGCACGTGAGCCACCGCACCACCACGTGCAACACAGTCGAATGCAAACCACCTCGTGGGTGTTCGTGGTTGGGCTGTTTGCCTCTAGAATTTGAACGTTGAGTTCCTGAAGAAGCTCCCGGCAAGTGGAGGCGGAATTGTCAGACACGCGGCAGCTAGAGCAAAACACATCGGAGAGCTGGACAAATCGGAAAATACGTAATCGATTGTGTCCACCATAAGACAACGATTTTCTTTTATATATCCTTACGCCCCTGGCACGACATCGGCATGCGATGTCGTCACACGATGGTCTTGAACGCGAGACTGCGCGGCGTTCAGTGCCTTCGACGCATCATGCGCTTTGTTAATGGTCCCCGTAGCATCATAATGCTGCCTGGGATTCGATTTGTCGACCACGTGAAAATTGTCTCGGCTGCTAATACTGTAAAACCGCTGCGAGTGAGAGTGACGCCTCTCCACGTGCTGTGGCATTTCCGATAATCCCCACGACGCCTCAAACCCTCCTTTCTTCTCCACACCCCGCCCCCATGTTAACATTTCGGCGAGGGCTAAGCTGCTGCTTTTGACACCAGGTTTGGGAATTTTGAAATGTATTCAAATTCCAAGGCCAAGTGCCACAATGTCCCCTTTTTTTTGGAAATGTTTATTAAGGTTTTTTTTTTTTCTGGAAAGGGCGTACTTGGAGGGAAATGTGTGCATGTATTTTTTATATTTACCTTTTGACTGTTGACGTTTTACAACGACCGCGGCGAGCAATTTAGGACACGTTCTCCATGAATATGAATTCTTGAAAGGAAAACATATCAAACTTGAGTCACCGTGGCCTTTTCAAAATCAGCCTTCAAAATCGAAGGTTTTTCTTTTTATTTTTTCTATCCCTTTCATTCTCCAAACGGAGCGGTCGGCATAGTAATTGGTAATTAGCTATCATCAGTGGCGAGTGGTATCTGATTGAGTGCTGGGCATCACCCCCTTAGCCAGCCTCCACTACCCAGCGTGGGTGAGGTATGCTCACCAACCCCGATGACTACATCGTGTCCGGGTGGACTTAATCTATTCGTGGATTGATAGTTTTGTACGTGTGTGTGTATGTTGAACTTCTTTCACGCCGTTTTCATTTCATGTATTTGGTATAGCCCTGTGAGCCATTCGGCTCTTGAATCGGGTGCAACCGCAACAAACAAAAACAAGAAACATCTTAAAGTGACTACGCGCAAACAGAAAAATCCAGGAAAAACAGCAACGTTTTCCAGAGAAAGCACCGTATATCAACGCAAAAATCCCAATGGGATGCAAGTCAAACAATAACAACCACAAGACAACTTAGATTAAAGTTATCAGTCTTACTCTGTACTACAACAAACAAATATGGCTAAACCAAAACGTTTTCGAAATCACCAAAATAAAGCTATAAAAGCAATGTAACAGTGATCATAGGAACTGTGATTGAAATTTAAACAATAAACGATATACATAACATGACCTACCAAACTTTGCAGTCATAGCTGGCTGCATGAGTCACTCCATAACAGCAGGAGTATCAGAGCCGTACGTAGCCAACCGAGCTAGTCGGAGGTGCGTTTTATATGCTTGTTTTGTCGCATTGCATTGAGGGTGCCACGGGCAGAATTTAAATGTGTAACAGAGGTCTCATCGATGGCTCTGGACAATCACGTGATAAACCCTCTGACATGGTAATTGCTCACCCACCGCATTGCTCAAACCTACAAAGAGGCCTGTGAGCATGGAGAGGCCTGCATCCAGCAGTGAATAAATGAATGCCTGATGATTAATTTTTTCTGGCCATCCTCCCTTCGAGTGATGTGTCCTGCCCAGGCCCACTCACCTTTCTTCACAGGTTTGAACGATTTCATTCGCCCGCTTGTGTTCTCTCATCCACATACCTCTCTTCCTGTCGCTCGGTATCATTCCAGGCATGCAATTCTCCTCAATTCTTTAAGCATGTTTAATGTTTTTTGTTAATGGCCCAGGTGTCGTAGCCGGTATTGTGCTCACTGCCCAAAAACGCTCCTTCGTTATGCACATTGGTGGGTTACCTTTGCGTAGCAAGTGTGAAGGAAATTCTCCCGTGGCGTTATTCACAACCGGAGACCGTGACACCTGCAGTGTCAATCTCTGCATCTAATCGAGCAATAACCAAGATTTGTAATTGAAACAGGTGTTGAAAAATCATGCGTATGCAGGGATTTTAAAACATGCATTTGTCTTTAGAGGCATTTGATTAGCAGCATGGAAGCTGACGGGCAGCTGGCAGGACAAAATGTGTTGTGTCTCCAAGTTTTGGCCAACTCATTGATCTATTTTTACAGTATTATATCAGGGAAGGCACTAACTGCAACACCACTTAATACCTCAGGTTTGATCATATTGAATCATGAGACATTAATCGAAGATGCCTTACAAATAAATGTAAATTATTATTATAGTAAGTCACCACCTGTAACGACTGGACAGTGCTAATGGCTAAAATTGGAAATCTTTAAAAAAAAAAAGTGTGTGAGAATTGCTGTGGGGAGCATTAGTGTAGCGGTCAGCGCGCTGCGCTATGAACCCGGTGACCTGAGTTCGATTCTCGCTCACGGCCAACACCGGTGACGATTACCTGAACCCGTTCTGGGCCTCCCCTAGGTCGACTCGGCTTCAAAATGAGTATCTTGCGCGATGTGTAAAACATCGCCACTGGGGAGACAAAGGCGGTTGGGCGTGGTGCTGGGCACCCCGCCCTCTCCTCGTGTGCCGCGCTGCCGGCCTCCGTAGCCGCTCGCTCCGCCAACAGCACTTGCCCCCGACAGTCTCTTAAAGGCCACCCGCGGGGTCTCTGTCCATGACCCTGTGCAATAATACGCCCGACCGGGACCTCGTCCTGCACAACACAAGACGTGACGACACGATCGACGACGTATTGAATAAATGTCTCGATGCCGGGCGACACCACCGCCGTGGGGCGCGCAGTGACCTCTTCGGGATGGGCGAGTTCTGCCGGGACACCAGGGAGCGGCATCGCGCCGCCGTGGAGCGTCTCAACGGCCGGGACGCGACGAGCCGCCTCCTGCGGTCCGACTTGGCCAGTGACGTCACCGCTGGCTACGCTCACTTCGACCGGTGAGGCTCCTCGCTCGCTCCCACGTCGCTGCCGCCCGCACCTCCCGTTTGCACGGTTGCGTGTATGTATGTGTGCGTGTATGTATGTGTGCGTGTATATTGAACCTATTTCGCTTAAAGTGCACGTAGCATGGCACAAGCGCCGTGGCGACGTCACCGTCACTCAGTGGCGAATGTCCGTTGTATGTTGAACTTCTTTCGCACCGTACGTAGCCAACCGCGCTAATCGGAGGTGTGGACTATGTACGTTGCGAAATAAGTTCCAGACGACTAGCAATTGGCAGTCCGGTAATGACGAAAGGTAGTAAAGGTGCAGGCCGTGCAATTGCTCGCTCCCACCACTGCTGGCGGAAGGGTCTCCATGAGCGAGAGCTCTAGAGAGACCCTCCACAAGATAATATTTTGGCCTGCTCTTCAACCCTTCCTGGAAGAGGTGGGAAAACAACAACAACAACAACACACTTGAGCATTCGTGCTGCGCGGTGGACAGGCGGTGGAGGTTAATAAATTTGCGCCGTTGTCTCGACCACTGCGCCAGCAGATCGAACCGGTGACTTCTGGATGGCAAGTCCGCGGTGCGAATTAAAACGTTACCGGCAGTGTGATCATGATGATGCCCCTCATCATCATAGTAATGCCAGGAAGATTCTGACTTGGTTGAGAGGGAAAGTATATCGGGCAGTAATAAGAGCAGTATTGACATACGGGTCAGAATGTTGGACTCTCAACGCCAAGGAGGAGCAGACGTAAACCACAGAAATGAGGAAGCCACTAGAGCAATGCACTTTTAACATCGAGATTGAAGACTCATTTCTGTAGAGCTGCTTTTTGTGTTTAGTTGTCCTTCCCACGCACCTCCGATTAGCGCGGTTGGCTACGTACGGTGCGAAAGAATTTCAACAACATACATACAATGAAGCTAAAACACTGAAATCAACCAGTGCAATGTTAACGTTGCACCCTTAAAACACTCCAGCTGTCGGCTTCCAAAACCAGAGAGGTCTGTGCAGAGGGGTGAATCGAAATCGTGAAAATATAAAAAATGTAGAGCTGAATTTGACGATACGAATTCCCAGTTAATAATGAAGAATGCTCGCCTGACGAGGAAATTACGATGCATTGTTACCCGTAGACAGGAGTGCTCTGCCCTGACTTGATTAAGCGCGATTCATGGAAGATATGGTCACGTTATTTCTCTTTGCCTGCACACACTCATTACTTCGCGGCCAACGTTCTAATGGCGAGGGTATAACTGCGGCGTTGAAGCGTTCGGGATAGTTTTAATTTATTTTTCCGATGATTTCATGGGCGGAGGAAAAATCAAGTACGTGTAGATGAATTTCAGCGTTCGTGCGAGGTGAAACGCCATTCAACAGATTTCTCGTTCACTTGTGAACTCCCGGAGGAGTGCGAATGTCACTCGCTCCGCACGGATGAGCTTTGTGTTCGACACGTGACATTCCGTACGAGACAAACGCGTTAAGACACGATCCATTTCTCACCTCAACGTAAGTCGTCATCAGCGTCTTCATACAACATGCCGGGTATTGATTAAGAACACAACATTTTTTTTTACATCAGTGCTGTTATTTCTTTTATTTGTTGTCGGGGACTAAAAATAGATTATAGTGACGGGGTGTATTTTTCGTGTGAACAGACAGATGCCGGATTTCAAGTAAATAGCCTTTAGCCTGTTGACAGCTGTCATCATTTTCAGGAGTATTCGAGAAAATTGCCTTCCTTACGAACGTTTTATCCGCAAAAATAATGTCCATGTGGCTGCTGGAGATCATCGATGCCGTCCGTTGATGTCATGTGCGGCGTCGCAGGTGCAGTCACCGGGACACACACGGTCGCGACGGGACACGGGCGCTAAATAACGACAACATCAGTTAAACCGAACTTTAATTAAACCCAACATCACTTAAACCCAACATCAGTTAAACCCAACTTTAATTAAACCCAACATCACTTAAACCCAACATCAGTTAAACCGAACTTTAATTAAACCCAACATCACTTAAACCCAACATCAGTTAAACCCAACGTCAGTTAAACCCAACATCACTTAAACCCAACTTTAATTAAACCCAACATCACTTAAACCCAACATCAGTTAAACCCAACATCACTTAAACCCAACATCACTTAAACCCAACTTTAATTAAACCCAACATCACTTAAACCCAACATCAGTTAAACCGAACTTTAATTAAACCCAACATCACTTAAACCCAACATCAGTTAAACCCAACGTCAGTTAAACCCAACATCACTTAAACCCAACGTCAGTTAAACCCAACGTCAGTTAAACCCAACGTCAGTTAAACCCAACGTCAGTTAAACCCAACGTCACTTAAACCCAACATCAGTTAAACCCAACGTCAGTTAAACCCAACGTCAGTTAAACCCAACGTCAGTTAAACCCAACGTCAGTTAAACCCAACGTCAGTTAAACCCAACGTCAGTTAAACCCAACGTCAGTTAAACCCAACATCAGTTAAACCCAACGTCAGTTAAACCCAACGTCAGTTAAACCCAACATCAGTTAAACCCAACATCAGTTAAACCCAACGTCAGTTAAACCCAACGTCAGTTAAACCCAACGTCAGTTAAACCCAACATCAGTTAAACCCAACGTCAGTTAAACCCAACATCAGTTAAACCCAACATCAGTTAAACCCAACGTTAGTGAAATCCAAGGGTAGTTAAACCCAAAGTTAGTGAAACCCAAAGTTAATTAAACTGAACGTTATTTAAACCGAACGTTAGTTAAATCGAACGATAGTTAAACCGAACGTTCAACCGAAGTTGTTTAGACCGAATCTTCCTTCGTCCAAAGCAATTGGCGCCGATCTTGCCCTGCCTCCCGTAAGTTCGCATTCGTCGTTCTGCCCCTCGACGTCCACGCTGCTCACAGAGGCCGTTGCGAACACGGCGCCGCGACAGGCGTGGAATTGTTTCACCTGCGCCTTTGCTCACAGGTGTCTCTTTTCGCTGTGCCACACTCTAGGAGGGAATACCCCGAGAACGTCACCCCCAAGGCCGTTGTCCTGGAGTGGTGCCGCCACTCGAAACACGGCCAGCCCCAGTACACAACCGTGAGTGGCCGACCACACATTTATGTTCGTCGTTTGATGTGCTTCAAGCGGCAGACCTTCTTACTCCTAATTGGTGAAGTGAACAGCAGCAGCAGAAATTGGATGAGTTCACAAAATAAGGCTGTCCATGTTGATTTTATGTATTCATATTTATAACTGTGTCATATTTCAAACATTTTTTAAAAATCTAGATCCCTTCTGTTGATGCCGACCTCAACAAAGCTGACACTGCGTTTTAGATCCTTTGGAGGAGACGATCTGATTGCTGCTCGTCATGCTGTTTTTATTTGTCTTGTGTCTTGTACCCGTTGCAACTCGTAGCTGGAATACAATTTGACATTCCGCAGTGGCCAACCCAGTTTGTTTTTTTAAATCGATCAACCACGTGTCAAGACGAATACGAGAAACAATGTACACAGCAGGAAGAAGAAGAAGAAGAAGAAATTTAGAGCTTTTGCTTCGAAACCTGGGACAAGTTGATGCCATCCGTCGTTTTCTTCTGCAGGAGCAGCGAACCGAAGACCGTTTCTTTCGCTCCGTGGCAGTGGTGGCGGGGAAGAAATATTCCACCGTCAACTGGTGAGATCACACAATCACGGTGACGTCTCACCCAGCATCTCACGCAGCGGTAGGAGCTGAGCCAATCCCATTATTTCGGCGGTGGATTTCTGTACGGATTATCGGTGCGGTTAATTAACGTGTCGACGTGTTTATTCTCTTTCAGATGTTACAGTAATCGTTTACGGTTATATCGCGGGACCTTTTTTACAGTATCACAGTATGAAAAAGAGGAGGGTTTACCCTTTCTGGCAACACAACAAGTGTTAAGATGTTCACACACCAAATAGATCACTTTTGCGAGGAATCAACTCGGCATTAACCACACACCGGTACTTGTGGTGAACATCCACATTTACGGTTGTTTGTCAATGCGCTGATGGTTTAAGGCCTCCCCACGTGATGTCGTCATGGAGGTTTGGCCATACTTCACCGCACTGGTTCTAGATGTGAAGTTTTCGTGACTGCAAGGATTCATACTCTTTGGTTTTTTTCGATAAAGTCACGTAGGTAAAAAATAAAATAAAATTAATGAAAACAACTAAATTAAATCACGACGTTTCGGGCGCAACACAAGCGTCCTTCTTCAGGTGGGGACAACGTAAGTGGTTGTGCTTTTGCTGCGTTGTCCCCACCTGAAGAAGGATGCTTGTGTTGTGCCCGAAACGTCGTGATTTAATTTAGTTGTTTTGATTTTTTTTTTTTACCTACGTGACTTTACCTAAGAAAAAAACCAAAAAGTATTCACCGCACTGGTTCGTGCACGTTGGTGAAGAAGGTAGGAGCCAGAGAACAGATAGTACTCTCCCGTGAACTCAGTTCGCCAGGTTTATAGCAGCAGCACCCGTCCACTCCATCCCAGGGGACACATAACCATGTACACATGATGGCATGTACAAGTGAATGACACAATATCACAAATGGAAACGTTGCCTCATTCTTTCTCTTCATTTGCACTACTAAGTGTGTGTGCGCACGCAACCTGTATCTACCATGGGACCTTTTTGCCAGTATCAAAGTATAAAAAAGTATCTTTGTTTGCATGTTCACCACAAGTATGTGCAGTTAATGCAGACTTTATTCCGTGCAAAATTTATCTATTTGGTGTTTGAACCGCTGAACACTTGTTTTATTGCCAGAAAGGGTAAAACCTTTATCCGCATCAGCCCGAGTGGTTGCTCTGAGATATGGCTCTTAAAACAATCCTGAGAGATCTCTAACGTCACTGTGGATGGTCCCACACAGATCTATCATTTCCTGTATGAAGCCTCGTGGCGTATTGACAATGTTCCTTTCCTGTTATCTCTCCTCACCGGCGATCCGATATTTTGAACCGAACGTAGACTCTTGATGTGCGCGTGACGCGCACATTGTGGGGAGCAGCGGTGCAGAGGTTAGCAATGCAATGCGCTTCGAACCCAGTTAACCCGAGTTTCATTCCCAGCCTCGGCCAGCAACGGCGGCAGCGAGTATCTTCACCTTTAGTTAAACTCGACCTTCGATTACATTCTTGCGTGTGCCAATATTTCCGGAAGCTAAATGCCAATGTGGAGATCTGCTCGCCACTTCAGGAGAGATTTCACGTGGTTGTGCTGCCCCTCCGTTGAAGGAGCAGCACAGACGGCAGCGGTACTTCGACATCCGGCACTGGGGAGGCAAATGTGGCGTGGTGTGGTCCTGTGGGCCCCCCATCACTTCCTCGGGCGCCACTCGGTCCGTAATAGGTGCTCGCTAACGCCACCTGCCTCGACAGTCCGTGCGGCTACTTGGGCGAGCCTTGTCTCCGCTTGTTTGTGACGTGCCCCGTGATTTGTTTTCTCTTTCTACCCCGCCCATCAGGGAAAAGAGTAAAAAGCTGGCGGAGCAGGCGGCCGCGGTGGTGTGCGTGGAGAGCCTGGGCCTCCCGAGCATGAAGCTAAGCAGGGAGGGGGGCAAATTGAGCGCCGTCAGTAACAAGCGCAAGCGGGGGGCTGACGGGGAGCAGCAGCGGGGGGAGGAGGTCGCGGAGGTTGGACAGGGCGCCAAGGAGACGGACGTGCTCCGAACGCCGAGTGCGGGGGCTCTCGACGAGGGGGGAATGGACACGAGAGGCGGCGGTGGCAGCGGTGAGAAAATCCCTGGCGACTGCTCAAAGGGCACGGTCCGTGCTGAGAAGGGGTCGTCGGAATGAAGAGCGAAGGAGGAGGAGAAACGGGGCGGAGAGAAGGGCGACGTACAATATCTTCAAAAAAAAACCTCCGGGTTTCTATGCGCGTGTGTGAAGCGAGAAACTGGCTTGCCTGCCCCGACTCGTATGCGTTTGCACGTGTAAATGTGGATACGTGCAACCACTGTTTAGTGGTGATTCATAATTTTTGCAGGCCTTCGTGAGTCTGCTGCCAAGGTGAAGGCTTCCACCGTGCCGCGTCAGTCGCCACGCTCGGTCGGTGCATGTTAATGATGACTGCAGGGTCTTCATTAAAGCAGATCGCAGGATTCATCATTAAAGCAGATCGCAGGGTTCATTTCACAGCACGCTAACCACTTCGCCACCACTCCGACACCCCGTTTATTGTCAATTATTCAAAGTTATCAGTCGTGGAGTACTTATGCAATTACGGGGTATGTTTATTCACATGTAATTTGCACAGGAGCCGCATTCCAAGTGTACGTTATGTGTACAGAAAAGGTGTGCGCTTAGAGATATGGTAAAATCCCTTCCGTGCCTTGTTTGCATCTCACAGTGTTTGCAGTTCCAATTGGATTGTCAGCCCAAGTTTGAGTTGAGTTGTGCATTTCACAGTGCTTCAGGATTCATTGATTGATGCCCATTTGCCAGTAATGAGACCGTAATTAAACCGGTGCTCATGGTACTTGCTTGAAAATTGCTTTAGAAATTTGAACTGCCATGGCACGCATTGTTAGCAGCATTATACATCTCCCCTTGTTCATGCATAATGATGTATTTTCCGTAAATTAGATTAATTGGCGCGTAAAAAAAACATAATTATGTTTTGCATGTTGACATTGTAGAATGCTTTGTACAAACGAGTCGTCCCTTTGCAATTTAAATAATTCGTGCAATGTTTTTTATTCCCTAAACTTTGCAGCGATAACAAAAATTACTCATCAATCTTCGCCGACTTAGTCTATTTGGAGGCTGAAACCTGTAAATGGGTAAAAAATAGCATCGTTACCATGTGTGAAATCCGTATACCATTGTCTTTAGAGGGTACGTTTACGATAAACAGTTCCAACTATTTGAATATAATTTACACTTAATATACTTGGACAAGCTTACATGCAAAATGCGTGCTTTCACTTCGTGCCAAACAAGATGAGGGCAGTATTTATTTTCTCTCTCTCTGCCTCTGCCATTGCTTCTGCGATGTGCAGCGGGCGTCAAAACAGCCCGACCATTTCCAGCTGACGGTGCCATCTGCCCCGATTTATTTTACGTCCACCCTGGGCCATGTCCAATGAATTAAATATCAATTTGTCAGCGATTTGACATTCGCACTCTGAATAATCCCAGTCGGCCACACTTGGCAGTGTATTTAAGCAAACATGAAATAGCAGCTGACAGCCCTGTCTTGCCAAGCCGGACTTCTTGGGGTATAGCGATGCATCGATTGGCCGATTCATTGCATTTTATTTAGCTCGTGATACATGCTCTCATAACAAAATCACTCCGCATCTACCCAAGCTCTCGACCGGATAATATAATCAGAACCGAACACCATACCATACAGGGCGGTCCAGATGTCTTGTTACCCCCCATTTAATTATTTTAAACGTAAAAATATTTAGTAAGGTTTATTTTTAAAAAAACGCATACAAAGGAACATTATTTAGGGGTCAATTAATTGGGGGGAGGGGTGTGTCACCCTGTACAATGCTGCTATTCTGCACTACAACAGGATCACAAGCGTATTCACTAACAATCGATGTATTTCAGGTTGTAATATGTTACTGGTAGGAACCACCTGGTTCCACCAGCCCACAGGGGATTATTGTGTCCGTCCGTCCGCCCGTCGTGCATCCAAAAATGGGAGAGGTGGGGCTGGGTGGAGAGGGGAGGGTGGGGAAGGGCTGGGTGGGGAGGGGCTGAGTGGGAGGGGTGGGGCTGGGTGGGGAGGGGCTGGTCACCCCGTGGTGCCCTTATAAAACTCAACGTTTGACCTACTCACGCCGGCTTGTGCCCGCCCTCACAGTCGGGCATATTTTCGGAATACACCACGCCGCCGTTGACCCTGGCCATTGACCGAGCAACCCAACGTTCCTACCAGCTCCCTCCGCAGCAGGAATGTGTTTTGCGTATTCTGTTCAGCGTGGCACACTCCAGCCACTACGAGGGGCCGCTACCTTCGGCATGAGCTGAGATTAAGCATGCGTTCCTTGCGGGGTTAAACCCTTGCAACCAGTTCATCACCTCCAAGGCCTCCGTTTACATGAACCATGCTGAATGTTTACATTGGAATTACGAGTCCGTGTATCAGTGACGATTCATTGGATCGTGATGGGGAGAGAATTAATTGCACCCCTCGTAAATGTCGACGGCAGTGGCGTTCGAGGCTGTCGAACAACGGCGTGGTCGCGAAGAGTTGCGGCTAAGAGTTGCGTGCGCTGTGTGGAAAAAAAAACAACCCACATTGTTCCAGAGGTCATTCCTTACAGCGGTCTCCCATTATTTGGTCCAATGATCCAGTACGGCACACACACACACGGGCTTATTTAATAACCCCGCTTAACGAGATAATTCTGCCTAAACAAAACAAAAAAACTGGGCAGCTTTACGCTAACGATGTGGGGGGGGGGGGGGGGGGTTACAACAAAATGTGCTAACGAGTTGTTGTTTGAGCAGAGTGACGACGATTCTCCCACTTCGATGTCGTCTCACGCCAGCATTGTGCCGCTGCTCATTTTAATGGGGGTGTCATAGGGGAGGTCCCGGCTCCTCGCGAGGGGTCTCTCTCTCTCCTTGTTTTTAGAATGCAAAGTCAATTTACGGAGTTGCTGAAACTGGGTGGTGTTCTCCTTGCACGGGTGTTGTTGATGATGATGCTAATAAAAAGGTGCACACCTGGTCCGAGACTGTGCCCTGCGGATAGTAATGGAGCCTCGTGGTACGCGCGTGACCTTTGGAATTTGGTTATTATTTATTAATGGCTGCTGTAGCCTTAGCACGGTTCGGAGTAAGTGCTAAGTACATATGCTAAGGGGAGTCGAGAGTCTACGGATGATTGTCGGGTGCCTTCGTCACAAACATTACTCGTCCGTCAAGTTTTGTGTGGGGGGGAAAAAAATCTGCAAATAAATTGGTTTCGAGCAACCTTTTTCATTGGAACTTGTTATTAAGCCAAATTTTAAAGGAATTATCAAGATGTAAATCCTCAACCAACCTCGCTTTATACGTAAGCTTAAAAAACAAACTAACAAACACAAATACAGTTGTGCAACCCCCATTTATATGATCTAATGTGAATGTAAATCGTCTCATTACTTGAGCGGAGTGAGATTAAATCCACCTCGCCGCCGCTGCAACACACACAGCTCCCACCGCGGTAAGAATAAACCGTTGCCATCGTCTTGGCTCCGCTAAGCGTTTGCACCCAAGTTCACGATGTGCACGCGGAAACGCACGCCCACGTTATCATCTCTCGCGCCGCTCTCAACACCGATCGCAAACCGGGCGTCATTTATTTCCCAATTAAAGTGTCCCGTGGCATAATGTGTGGCGCCAAGCAGGACCGCTGGCCCCTCTGCTGTTGCAGCCAACCCACATTTTTCAACTTAACGAATGCCCCCCCCCCCCCCCACGTTAACCAATTTGCGGTTACGGTGCCGCGAGTACGCTCTTGTGGCGGGCCGGACATCACGGCAAAGTAAGATGTATGCATCTCGCCGCCTCTATCCCATTACGCGCTCGTTCCCGACAGCATCACATTTTCGCAACGCGGCTCCGGGACACATTCCATGGGCGGCGCGCACGGCGGTTGCATGCGACAGATTTTTTTTGGTTTTATTTAACAAAAATCACGTGACGCGTTACAACAGCTGCTCCTCTCACCTTGGCTGAGAAAAAAACAAGAATGCCGCGATTGCCAGAGGGAGGTGTTCGTGTTGCAAGCAACTGCCAGAGACTTGACGATCGCACGCGGATAATTTGCACCCCAAGACGCAAAAGGCGTTGCGGTCGGATTTTAATGACTCGGAGAGAGTGGATTTTTCCATCAACGAAAATTAACTGCTCTGGAGAAATTAGCCGCAAAATCAGCTCGCCCAGAGGCAGGGAGTCGATTCGAAACCCGGTGGAGCCGTTCCATGGGTGCTGCCTTGAGGCCTCGTCGCTCGGTTGTGTTATTCATTCCAGATTGTTTTTTTTTTCTATCGCTTTCGTAATTTGATTTGAAACGTGCTAAACAAATCACTCGGACCACCATGCACAAACGGCGTCACAGGATTGCGGTCCCGCGTGGCGAGTAGCAGAAAGAACGATGCAGGGACATCCGAAGTTGCATTGTCAATTGTATGCATCCCCGTTTATGTTCCGTGCCTTCACCAATCCATACTGACCGACGTGGTGGATGGAGGTCCTCATGCAGCAGTGGATTGCCAAAGTCGATGTGCACGTGAACTTTAGGCACGAGATTAATCGTCCGTTTGGAACTCTGGGGAGAGCAGTGCATTATCGATCATTCGAAGAAAACAATCTGTAGTTGACAGAATACTGAGGTCCCATCAACTGACCTTTTATACCCATATGGGGGTCACACTTGCTCACACGCTCCCTTAAAAGAGAATTGTTCCATCGAATGAAATTCGTACAGATATCTTTTTTGACTGCATATTTGTGTTGCCATATTTCGTGAAAACGCGACTTTCATTGATGACCGAGCTGAGACAACTCGCTATGCTTGAGAAACCGGTTAACCACGGGTGGCCGAAAGCCAGATTCAAACCCAGAAACTCAGCAGTACCCGGCTCATTGTTCTGACTCCTAAGCCATCCATCCGGCAACCTCCCAAAGGTGTGTCACGTTCTACGACTGATGAAATCCCCCAAAAAGCATGATCACTTACACCACTGCATTCACTTGAATGTGTCGGTGGGATCGTGCTGTCTAATCAGAGATCCGAGTGCGATACAGGGAAAAAAAAGGAAGTTGTGTGTGCCACGGTTGGAGAAGCGAAGCAGAGCCGACCGCGTGCGTGCAAGAGAAGAGCAGGTAAGGGGGCATGAACGATGATAATGATTCCACGGCTAGCGAATGCAACTAACAGCTCGGTCTACGCACGTATGCGTATGTATGGTGCTTACTTGCTCAATAGATGGTCCTAGATGCATATCTGCCCACCCAACCCTATAGGCTGCCGATTTAAACAAAAAATTTGGACAGATTTTCCAAGTTAATCTTACGACTTCAAGAAAAATTAAAGTACGCATTTTTTTTTTTGCTTCGGCAAGAGGTGGTCTTTGAAGGGGAGGTTTTAAACACCGAAAGGCTGCGCTCACATCTGTCAACGTTGGTAGATGTACACGACACAGACCTGTTGCTCAGTCCCCTGAACTCCCCTGCCCCACCGGTAGAGAGGAATCGCGACTTTGGTGAACCCGCGGCCCCGGTACTCGGCGCTCATCTCGACCGAAACTTGCGACGCGGTTTTGAAGCGGCCAGGTAGAAAGAATCCACCGTCTGTAAGCCATCTTACATAGGGGGGGGCGGGGGCTTCGTTTGCCCTCCGCCGATCATCGCGTCTCACCACGGGCACAGCTGTCCGAGTGTACCCATTTCACTAATCCACTGCTGGATGCATGCCCCCGTCTAAACCTCCACGTCGCCGCCATCCCACGATGCTGCGATGCACACGAGCTGATTGCATCACTCCTCTGCCTCGCTCTTCAAATACATATATGAAGCCTACACACACGCACAGAGACGATATGATTGATACTAATCTAAGCCCACGTGGGTATTACATTGAAACAGCGGTGGGATACACGCACACCATATCAGTTTGAAAAAGTGCTCATTGCATCACGTTGGACAAAGACAAAGATCCCCGGTATAGCATTTAACAGACTGTTGGGGCAAGTGCTGTTGGCGAGCTCTTATCAAGACCGGCACGGCACACGAGGGGGTGGGCTCACGTGTATGGGCAAAGCGGATTATGAAATGGCGAGATTGTGAGAGGCGGTGACGGCTTGGAGGAGGCCTTCATCCAGCAGTGGAGTGATTTCATGCCTGATGTCGAGTTTGTGTGTATTTGGGCCAAGTGCACAGCTTCCTCTCGCCTATCTCATCATCGCCATGCGGGACGACTCTGAATATTTATGAAGTGATTTCGTCTTGATACATTATTACAGTTCTTAATTACCGAAACACGAAGTACTGCACACTCGAGAAAGTCACGATGATGCGTCTGCATCTCCATTTGGCCCTCCAGCCAAACTGTCTGAGCGGGTGGCCAATTCGATGAGAGGAAAATCAAATCTCGAAAATCAAATCACACGCGCCTACTGGATTATAAAATGCATCCCCAACTATTGCTTTACAACAGGATAATTAAGTGTATGCGTGTGTGGGGAGCGGTGGTGTAGTTGTTAGCGCGCTGCGCTACGAACCTGGCGACCGAGTTCGATTCCTGCTCACGGACAACACCAGTGACGATTATCTGAACTGGTCCTGGGCCTCCCCTAGGTCGACTCGGCCTCAAATGGGTACCCGGTGTGGTGTGTAGTAAACATCGTCACTGGGGAGACAAAGGCGGCTGGCCGTGGTGCTTGCCACCCACCCCCGTTGTGTGCCGTGCCGGCCTTCATAGGTGCTGCTACTCGCTAACAGCTCTTGCCCCAACAGTCTGTTCAGGCTACACGGGGGATCTTTGTCTTTGGTGAGATTCGAGTGATTTCGTTGACGAATGGAGCAGCTTTCCGGAGCGTCTTGTAATCTGGGAGAAAAAAAAAACACAATTCTCGTAATTTGGGGTTAAGATGCCTACGTGGGGTAAAAGGACATCGTGATGATGATGATGTCCGCGTGTTCGCAAC